TTCCATACTCTAACTACACGCTGTGTAAAGAAGTGCTTCCTCAAATTTGTTTTAAAATGTTCTCCCGCTAATTTCCATCTGTTAAATCTGTTAAGTTACCATAGAAATATCAACAGACAGACACTGAAAACCAATGAAAATTATGCTGAAAGAATAACTGCTTATTTATGAGTAAAAATCATGTAGGTTTTTATATTAACATATCTAATACATCATGAAAACGCATTAATATAGAACTGCTACTAGGCTACCGGAACTACCTGTGTAAAATCAGCACCGCGTGACATCTCTGGATCAATAAGAAAAAAATATTTACCAAAGCCGTGGTATAAATCTCAATATTTTACTAGTTACCGGAAGGTTCAGAAAGAACTTTTTTGTGCACTGTTTTGTGCCCCTAATGAACTGTATTAATTAGCATTCTATCATCTTACCTCCAGAGCTCTGGGTGCTTGTAACAATGTGTGCGAAGCTTGTATGTTTTCCCTGTGGGTTTTCTTCCACAGACAGTTTAGGTGAACTGGTGTTTCTACAATGACCTGGCATCCCATCTAGAGCAGTCTGTGCATTGTGCCTTGAGCTTCCATAACTCTGCACTGGATAAGTAGTTATGAAAAAATGCTGGAAGGATTATTTGTCTGAAGAAATTGACTTTTTGCCTATAACCGCTGTGTCTGTGCTTCCAGTCCCAGCCATCAGTGTGAAGATTGTATCCAAACAGAAAGAGGTGCGCAGTGGGCAGGAGCTGACCTTGGAATGCATCACAGGCAGCAGCAACCCCAAGGCAAACATCTCTTGGAACCTTGGACCTCAGAAGTAAGAAATATTTTTGGGCAGGAAATCACAATTGTTTTTATTTAAAGAACTGCTGAAGAACAGTAATTGGATTAGTTCTAATGTACTCTGTATCAGATTCCATTATAAAACAAGGTGTACCTAGTGTAATTTGGTATCTGTTACCATATGCTAATACTAATAGTTTGAAAACTGTTCGGGTGCTGCTGACATTATAATGAAGTCTGCAGTAGTGCTGAAGTTTGGAGGAGCAATTTGATTATAATATCTATTTGTCTCACAAGGCTGAATGGGGTGGACCAGGCCCTCACCAAGGCTGAATATGGGGGTGTATCTGTACGCAGTGTACTGTCGCTTCTACTCTACTCCCACCATAACGGCTTAAGGGTCACCTGTCAGGCCTTCAGCGTCCTTTTGTCTGAAGAGGTTAACACGTTCTACAAGCTCACTGTGCTTTGTGAGTGCCTTGTAACTGTGACTGTGTGGTTTTGAGTTGCTGCATATATGTGCACCGATCTATGACTGAACAATTCTGTGTGAGTTTGTGGCAGTACATAGCTTTGTTACTTTGTGCATTGACTTGTATTTTATTGTAATGTCACTGTATGATTAGTTGCGCAAGTTGGTCTTTAGTTTATTGTAAAATAATTTCTTGTGTCTTTGTGTTTTTCAGACCCCCCTGAATTTGACCCAAACCAGCCTATACTATTCCAAGCAAAGGAGGATGATGCAATACACCTGCCACTGATGGTCTCTGCCAATCCACATGATATTGACTGTGTCTGGACCTTTCTGAGCAAGGAGCTGCTGAAAGGTAGGAAGTAGGGGTGTAACAAGATCTTATGTCATGAGATCTCGCGATATTACAACATGACGAGATTTCTCGTCGGAGTGAAAAGCGGTCTCGAGAAGGCGCTGCAAATCAGGTGCTGTAGGCATGCCGGCGTCTGAAGAAATTACCATAGTAGATTCCCCAGACACCTTTAATCCTTTTGTGTGGCAGCATTTTGGGTATCCGGTGGAAAAAATAAACGGCGAAAGGGTGACAGACAAAATATGAACCATCTGTAAGCACTGTAGGAAAATAATGCCGTACACAGCGGCTAACACTACTACTATGCAAAGCCATTTTCAGCACCATCATAGCTCTTTACTTAAATCCACTGCACCAGTGAAGAAAACATTAAAAAAGTTTTATGTATTTTATTTATGTTGTTTTATTTATATTCTATTTTATGTTCAATTGAGAAGTCAAATAAGAGAGAAGCCTGTCATTTGAGTTTGTTGTGATATACACTCACCTAAAGGATTATTAGGAACACCTGTTCAATTTCTCATTAATGCAATTATCTAATCAACCAATCACATGGCAGTTGCTTCAATG